CAGCGTTTCCAGTAGCAGTCACATCCTGATAATGACTAAGTATACTATCTAGATAAAAAAGATTTTGTTCCATTTTTTGACAATATTCTCTCGTAAGATGTGGACATTGTTGACTAGGCTAGCGCTGAGTTCGTTGGAAGGTGGAGGTGAGCTACCTTTATGAACCACTGCAGACCATGTGGTACAGTTAGACCCACCATACTGTTACAGAATTCCATATTCTGATTAAATGACAGTAAAGGAATCACTATAAAACTTTTTCGCATTCAGTATTTGCTAATGTCATGCTTTCAGGCCCTGCCCTTTATAGTTTGGTGCCAAATTCCCATACTTTTAGCAGAACATGAAGTTATCCAATCTGCATTTGCCATTTAAAAATTGGCATCTTCCAAGAGTTTAGCATTTTGTATAACTGTAACATGGCCTACTTCATGCTCTGTAGCACCTAAAAGGTGCTTTTAGTTGCGCACACTTCTGTTTTTATGTTCAGTTTCTACTTCAACTTTCAGCCTGTCAAAGTCACATCATTGCTCATCTGATAAAAAGACATTGAATCTGTTCCTTGTATTCAGTCTTTAGAATTTGGTGCTTTTGTGCAATTAAATTTGTGCAAACTTGCAAAAAGAAAATAGCTCCTTTTCTGCCGTCTAAATCTAACAAAGTATAACCACGCTTGTCTTTCCTATCCGTAAAATCACATTTGCAGAACAGATTAGAAAGTGCCAGGAGGTGTCTGTGGGTAAGTGTGCAAATACATATCCTCATCATCAAGCCTATTTTACAATGCACTGCAACATCAGTAAGTAACGCCCAGTTACTGTACATGATTCTATCTCTAATGTCTTTGGCAGCTGCATTTTGTATCTGAATGCCCATTTGCTTGTCCGCCTCTGCCATTCATCTGTCATGGCTTTCTAACAGGATGAAGCAGGCAGTAAAATGACTGCAAATCTTCATAGGGCTGGATGGTAATTAGGATAATACCTCTGAATCAGTCTTATTAAATTACCAGTCGCAAACTCCCGTCTTGATTGTAAAATAAATCTTGTTAGGTTATTCTGTGTGCAGCTTTGGCAGCAGTATCTTCCAATCATTGGCTTTTTTGGCAGTTGGCAGAGAAAATCTCCTGAAATATACAGCACTGATATTGAAATGTTTGTTACTGAACAGTTGTTTTCCAGACTGCAGACATGTCGGGCTACTTTGACACTGGCATGGATAGATGGGTTGTGCATGTTGTCAGGATAACTGGCACAAATGTTGGGAATCTTCTTAGCATCTCCACCTTTGCACATTCTTGTTCACTGTTGACTTGTGCAAGTAACAGATAGATTTAATAAAATACAGGTATTTCAATACAAAGAAAGGGAGGTCGGCATTTGTGTTGCACCTTTAACAACCAAAGGCCATCCTAAAACACACCACAGCTAATCAAGGACTTAACTGCGATTGCAATTTGAAAAGAATGGAACAAAAACAATCAATCGTCACACTGAGATCCCACATATAAACATACAAGGTGACCAAATCTTCCACTCGTGCTCTTGACACTTCGCCCTGAGTAAACCAGCAATACTGAGGGAAGTGACAGAATATCACTGGCAGGCTGATACTGTAGTTGTACCACAGTGAGTGTATGGTTCTCTTCTCTGATGTGTGCTACATCTCGTTAATTTGAGCTTGATTAAACATTCGAAATCGCTTGACTGTCAAACTAAATCTGATCAATCATTTTATGATAATTCTGTAAAATGTGCAATTCTAAATTTCCCTGGAATCCTAATAGACTTGTATCATCTGACTCAAATTTTCAAGGACGCAATTTACAAAAAAAACTTGCCTGTCATTTTCTTCTAGTATTGTTGATCTTATTGTGGAAGAAAGGACAAAATTGATACTGCGAACTCAGAATCTAACTTTCCAATCAATGGTTGCAGCATTGTTTAATTCATGGGAAAAATGTACATACCAACTGTCAGGATTTTATACCTGTATTGTTTTGATTGTCTGGTCTGACTGTCAGGGTTTGACAGAAATCAGCAGGAAAATTGGTTTCTCTCACCTCCCTTGTGTGTATTTGTTGCATGTGATACTTGCGATACTTATTGAATCTCTTAAATATGATGCAGAATGCATCACTTTTAATTGTTCAATTGGAGCATGCTTTGGGGTTTACCAATTATGTGCCTTCAACATTTGGAGTTTTTTCCCTCCTTTATTTATCACCCCCCCCCCCCCCCAAAAAAAAACCAGTATACCCCAAAAAATGTTGTGTATATCCACAGCTTAATTTAAAAAGTATGGGCCACTACCTTTCTCATGTCAGTGCCATTCTGAACTGTTATTCAGCTTTTGCTATTTTTTTCAGTGTGGCTGTTATGATTTGAATGTAAAAACATAATTCAAAATGGCACACTGTCCACAGTGTGCCTGTCTCACTCAGTATAAAATGCAGGTATTCCATATATTATTACAGCATTTCAAGAATGTCCTCCTCATTCATGTACTGAGAAGCATGTTGCATTTCTGTGACTTTGATCAGATCTTAAAGCTGTTTGTATATAAATTATTTCCTTTTGTGTGGTTTGGGAAGCATTTTCAAAGTTCAATCAGATGGGTTCAAATCATACTGCATCAGCAACATATCTACATGGAATTCTTGTGATTAATGAAAGATTGCAGCCACAAATATTCAGCATTGGTCAAGTGTAGGAACGATGTAAGAACGTCTACAGAATATTCCAAGCCTGGGGAGAAATCCAAAGAAAGCAGAAAGGAGTTAGCCAGATAAATATCTTTGCCACCAAAATACAACCTACTGCCACCAGCCTACATGGGTAAATGTCTGAATGTCTGATTTGACTTTAAAAAGAGAGAATTATCCAAGATGGCGGTGGGGTAGGACGCTTTAGCTGGAGCTCATCTGTTCTGTCCACTTCTATTTTTCTTTGTCTTTTTTTCCTGTCTTCTTTCGTGGCAATGTCCTGAACTCCCGGCCACAGCATGGACCGGGCATGGTCCTTTTGGCAGCCTGTGGTGGCCTTTCCACTGAGCGTGGGCTTCCAGCCTTGGTGATTCCAGAGTGATCTCCTGGCCTCGGTGAAGCCTGACACAGTCTGGAGTCAAGGCCTAGTGTAGTCTAGAGGCTAGATGCCAATGTGGACTGGTTTGGACGGACTGTTGTTCTGAACTTTTTATTTCTGTATTTTCTAATTTATTCCTACAACCTGTAATGCTGGACTTTTTATTTCTTTAGTTTTCTAATTTTCTTCCTTAAAAACTCGTACTGAAGATTTTGCACCTAAGGTGGTGCCGTAAGTGGTGACTTGTAAACTTTTCACTGCTCATTTGAGTGCATATGATGATAAAGTTAATTAAATTCAATTTGATTAGTTCTGGGAAAATGTGAAATGTGGAAGCAGGTCCAGTGTGAAAGGTGGTAATGTTTAATTTTGTTCATTTCCCAACACACCCTCTGGCCCTGCTTGCTGACATTCCCTTATGCACATGCTTACATGCAAACACCCACTTTCTCTCATCAACAACCGCACCCCAAACCTCTCTAGGAAGCCTGTTGCGAGTGGCTGAGTATGACCGAGGGTGTTGGGTGACAGTGAGCATGACCAGACGTAGTGGGCCTGAAGCAACATTTTGTGCAGCTGATTATTCCCCAACTATTACCCACGGCATAAGTTGGGGGCTACCCCGTTTAACTCTGCCCTCACACTCTTAACTCTCCCCTTCCTGTTCACTGTTCTTGTCCCAATTCTCCATACTTACCAGTTTTCAGTACCACCCGCTCGGAGGCAGCAGGATAGATTACTGGCTGCCTGTGATGCTTTTATAAGCCTATGTCCATGCGGAATTCGGCAGACAAATTCATGAGGCTGGAAGACTGTTTGGCAGTACAGTCATCTTATATGAAGAGTACACTAGTATAGTAGTTCCAAGTGGCATTGGTCTCAGCCACATCATCCCTATTTTTATCTTTGTGTACCCTTCAGCATATGGCAATGCAGTCTGTTATTTCACCTTGTACAGATAAAAATGAAACCATAAACATGTACAAACCACAAATGGATTTCGTTTGGAAATGCATTTTTCCAGCCTTGGGGGCCTGTACTCATAGTTTAGAAAAATATGTGCCCTTATTGAAACATATGAGATTTTTAGCAGGGTTGACAGGAAAATGCAGAGAGGTTGTTTGCCCTTTTTGGAGAGTCTAGTGCCAGAGGGCATAATCTCAAAGTAAGGGGTCAGTTGTTCAGACAGAGATGAGGAATTTAATCTCTCCAAGGAAGTGAACCTGTGGAATTCTTTACCACTGTGAGCTGTTGAGGCTAGGTCATTTAAGTACATTCAAAGCTTGGCAGATACCTTAATTGGTAAGGGAATCCAGCTTTACAGGAAAAAGCAGGAATGTGGAGGTGACGATTATTTATTCAGCCATGAGCTTGTTAAATAGCCACACAGACTCAATGGGCCAAATGGCCTATTTTCTGCTTCTACATCTTATTGTCTTAGAGACCCATGAAATATGTACTATTACGCCCGGCTGGCGCCGTATTCTGGGAAAATTTAATTGGTTTTCAACACCAGGGCCATTTAACTGGGGATTAGCCACAACAATGTTGCAACATAGGTTGGTTGAAGTGGGCTATTAAGGTCAGTCCTCCAGTTCATAGATTCTCTCTTCCCAGTGAATCGTAGCCAGTATCAGCTGAGCTGTCTGGCAGAAATAATTTTGCATCTGATTTTGGTTGAAATTCCCTGTTATTCGGTTGGTCCCCAGAATTTAGTGGTTATTCCATTTAAAAGCCATTCACTAATTTCAAAGGAGTGGAGTTCAGAAATTTGACACAACTTTGTCTTATGGCAAAAGTAATAGTATTTGAGATTTGTCATCATTATACTTAATTTAAAAATTTAAATTCCTTGAGCTGTTTTGATGTTTCAGGCCGCCTACTTATTGCTTTGCCTTTTTTTTTTTGCCTTTTCAGCTCTTCTTGTTTCAGTTGCTGCGGGGCCTATCCTACATTCATCAACGATATATCCTGCACAGAGACTTGAAGCCTCAGAATTTGCTCATCAGTGATAATGGCGAATTGAAACTGGCAGACTTTGGTAAGAGGAGGCAGTTAGTTTAAGTAAAGGCAAATGGTGGGGGGGGAAATGTAATTCTTTTACTTAATTGGATAGCAATCTAATTGCTAGCTTTCATCTTTTGAAAGAGTAAGAAGACAACAAACAGAAATTGAAGTTAGAAAAATTCATTCACATCAGTTTTGTTTTCTTTGGAAAAAATCAGATTTTGAAATGGTCTATTTAAAGCTTCATTATAGAATTGATTGAAACTGTTTTCTTTGCATGCTGTCAATGTGAGAGAGCACAAGTTTTAAAGATTAGGACGTTAAAACTAAAGGAAATGCACTTGAAGATTTTGAATGAGTGATAAAAATTATAAATGATCTTCCGAGGTAGCAGTCAATCTAAATGGGTCTAAAAGATAGTTTGAAATGTGCTTAGAGAGAGAAGGAATGAAGGAGTTACGTTGCTATTTGAAAATGGTTGAGATTTGATTTGGTGTAATACCTTTATCCGTCTTGCCAAACAGTTTATGATTTTAACATTGTGTTCTGAATATGGGGAACACGCTGTTTTAAGTTACGTACAAAAATAAGATTATCCTTGTTAATTTCTATTGCACATTGAAAGAAAAATAAATTGGGTTTATGATTAGTTTCTTTCTCCCTGTTGACTGTGTTTATTCTCAATTTGGTTTAAATGTGGCCTTTTACTCTGAGGCCACAGATATCACTGTAGTTCCTGATTCTGATTTGAGCATAATTAATTGTATAGAGCACTTCCTTCAAAATGTTCACATGAAGCAATATAGAAATGCGTTGTGCCTTTTCTTTTATCTTTAGCAGTTATTTCATAGTCATCGCAAAACAAGATTATCTTAGACTTTCTACTTTAGGAAGTAGAATCTTACCAGAATCCTTTAAAGCTGCTTATTTTACTATTTGCTCCTCACTGTTTGTGTTGTGACTTGGACAGTGTAGAAACACCAAGTAGCAACTTGTATCTCTCTCAAGTTTGATTTTGTTTTTTTTTGCTTCTGCACTCCAGCCACCAACTTCAACCTCACCATGGTAGCTGTCTCAAGTTGATCAAAACTGTTGGCAACCTTCATATCACATTTTGGTCTTGAGATGAACTTCCAACCACACTTCTATGGCATCACTGGAACTATCTCTATCCTACTGTCTGATTCCACTTTTGCCTCAGCTAAACTGCTGAAACATTCATCCAAGCCTTTGCTAATTGTGGATTTGACTGTTCCAATATCCTCCTGGCCAATCGCCCATGTTCTACCCTCTGTTAATTTTAGGCCATACAAAATCCTGTCACCCATCTCCCAACTTCCTCCAATTCCTATTTGTTAATAGAATATTTACTTTTTGTTTAATTGTAGGCAGCTAGTGAGCATTAACTGGGAATTCACTAGCCCATATTGTTATGGTCCTGGAGCAGACTGCCAAATTCATTTTAGGAGATGGTAGGGACCATAAGATTTTTTTTTTTTTTCCTGGTTTTACAATGAAGAGGTGTGTGAGATCAAGGGGCCTTGGGGAGAGGGGTAAAAAACCACAAGATTCCACTGCATCAATAACTGCTCCTGTTCTGGTCAATCATCTTTCTCTTGGTGCTAAGCTCCTCCAGACTCAAAATTGCAGTGCAGTACTCTAAAATCTAACTGCAGCTCTTCAAATCACTAACTTCAATGAGGCAGTCCTCTCAAGTTGATTTCTACCGCCACCCCACCACCTGAGTTTGAAAGTTGCTTATATATTCATCAAGTAGAAAGTGCTTATCAACATCTTAACCACCGATTTCTCAAACTTCCCTGAGGTATTAATACTTGTAAGTGTCTTCTGAGCCCCTCTGTTTCCAGTAATCTTCCCACTTTGACAACTCCCCAGGACTGCTGCTGATTCCTGACTCTAGCACTTAGCTATCTGATAATCATTAGAAATTCTTCCTGCTTTTTTCTTTCAGCATTTAGAGCTACCCAGCTGCTCCTGACTACTCCACAGAGTTCCCAACTCGGAATCTGTGCAGTTCAGCTGTCAGTAGTATAGCTGACTGAAATGCAGCTGGTTCTGTCCCTTTCTCATGCCCTCGCTCTCTCATCCTCCTTCAGTGATACCTAAACTGCCTGAGTGATCTACTTGAAAACCTTGAAATGAACCTCTCCATTGATGCTGGACAAAATTGAATGTTGCCATTTAGCAAACTCTTAGAACTGAGTGTGTTCTGAATATTATGATTCACAGATTGCTAGTTTCCCTGGTACAATTAGATACAGCTGGAAATGTATTCCATCACAATATAAACAAATACACATGAAAACATCTGATGTTGTATTCAGATGTATACTTCTAATTGTGTTGATGAATATGTATAAAGATTGGCTCCAGTTCTATCCTTCACCAGTTGGTTTTTTTGGATTGTAATAGCAAACAAATTGGATACCATTGATGTATGTTGGAAAGCAAAAACAAAACTGCAATTGAAGTAGAGATAACAAGGTGTGGAGCTGGATGAACACAGCAGGCCAAGCAGCATCAGAGGAGCAGGAAGGCTGACGTTTCAGGCCTAGACCCTTCATCAGAAATGGGAGAGGGGAAGGGGGTTCTGAAATAAATAGGGAGAAAGGGGGAGGCGGATAGAAGATGGATAGAGGAGAAGATGGGTGGAAAGGAGACAGACCGGTTAAAGAGGTGGGGATAGAGCCAGTAAAGGTGAGTGTAGGTGGGGAGGTAGGGAGGAGATAGGTCAGTCCAGGGAGGATGGACAGGTCAAGAGGGCGGGATGAGGTTAGTAGGTAGGAGATGGGGATAGGGCTTGAGGTGGGAGGAAGGACAGGTTAGTGAGGCGGGGACGAGCTGGGCTGGTTTTGGGATGGGGTAGGGGGAGGGGAGATTTTGAAGCTTGTGACGTCGACATTGATACCATTGGGCTGCAGGGTTCCCAAGTGGAATGAGTTGCTGTTCCTGCAACCTTCGGGTAGCATCGTTGCGGCAGTGTCGGAGGCCCAGGATGGACATATCGTCTGAGGACTGGGAGGGGGAGTTGAAATGGTTCGCAACTGGGAGGTGCAATTATTTAGTGCGAACCGAGCGTAGGTGTTCTGCAAAGCGGTCCCCAAGCCTCCGCTTGGTTTCCCTGATGTAGAGGAGGCCACAACGGGAACAGCGGATGCAGTATACCACATTAACAGATGTGCAGGTGAACATCTGCTTGATGTGGAAGGTCTTCTTAGGGCCTGGGATGGGGGTGAGGGGGGAGGTGTAGGGACAGGTATAGCACTTCCTGCGGTTGCAGGGAAAAGTGCCGGGTGTGGTGGGGCTGGAGGGGAGTGTGGAGCGGACAAGGGAGTCACGGAGAGAATGGTCCCTCCGGAAAGCAAACAAGGGTGGGGAGGGAAAAATATCTTTGGTGGGGTTGGATTGCAGATGGCGGAAGTGTCGGAGGATGATGTGTTGGATCCGGAGATTGGTGGGGTGGTATGTGAGGACGAGGGGTATTCTTTTTTGGTTGTTATTGCAGGGAGGGGGTGTGAGGGATGAGTTGCGGGAAATACGGGAGACACGGTCAAGGGCGTTCTCGACCACTGAGGGGGGCAAAATTGCGGTCCTTGAAAAACGAGGACATCTGAGATGTATGGGAGTGGAATGCGTCATCCTGGAAGCAGACGCGGCAGAGGTGAAGGAATTGGGAATAGGGGATAGCATTTTTGCAGTTTTAAATAATTGCAGAAAACAAATAGTTTTTGATTTGTTCTTGGAGTAGGAGCCATATGACCACTGAAGGAGTAAGGATGGATGAGTGGATACCAATTACATACCTACTAAAAAAGAAGCCAGGTATAGCCTTGACATTATCTGAAATTGCTGCAGAAACTCAGCAGGTCTGGCACACCTGTGAAGTGAAAGCAAAGTTAATGGTTTGAGTCCAGTAATGCTTCTTCAGAACTGAAAACAGCAAGGGAAAGGTGGTATATATTGTTGAAGACTGGGTAAGAGGAGGGTAATGGAGTGAGTGGATAGGTGGGGATGAAGCCCTGAGAGAGAGAATGACCGGCAGACAAAGGGTTCGGTGATAATAAGCCACAGAGAAAGAAAAGCTGCTAATTGGGACCATAAGTAGGTGAGAACAGGTTGGCTGTGTTAAAAGCAGCACATATGATGGCAGGGCCTGGGGTGTGGGGCTAGGTAAAGAAAATCGAGAAAAGTTCTAAAATTATTTATAAAATGAAATTAGTGACCATTGCAGATGCGATAGCCTGATGTTCAATGGTGGGATCATGGTACAGGAGGTCTTGGATGACATTTACAAAACAGGCAATCTGTTAAATACCTATGAAATTATGGTCAGACTTGGATAGATTTTGGAAAACAGACAATCTTTCTATGGAGGGACGTGTCATGGAGGTTAACAGATTGTAGACAATATGAGCAACATTCAGTTTGAGAATCCCAAAATCAGTAGTAGTATTTAATTGTTGTATTGTGCTTGTGTGTCTCGTAAGAGAAATTTCTGGTTCTAATTGGTGTTCGGCTCTCAAAGAGCGGCACCCTATTGGATTTGATGTTTGTTGCCTTGAAAATGTGTTAGGACACAGAGGCATCCTTCAACCTTTTGAGGAACAGTTGGGACGTACCCTGGTAATAAAAAGAAGAGGGTTTGATGATCTGATATTAAAATGGTCAATATAGTGGATATAGGCATCAATGTCATGATATTATTAAAGGCAGGCAAAATGAGTATGAAAACACCTGTTACCAGAACTGGCTATTCTGGGTATAAGCAGAAGGAAGTAGAGTGTCAGCCTGGAAACTAAGATCCTATACAGAGGGATGACAGGCACTCGAGAACTGGTAACATCTCTATCCTACAGCTAGCTAGGGCCAGAGCAAGTTGTCAGTCTCCTAGGCATGGACTTTCAAAAGCAGAACTTCAAGATCTCCCCATATAAGAAACAGAAAGTAACATCCCTGTCATGTTGCTACATATTTTGATAATGAGAATTATCAGGATATCAAGGATGGCCGAAT